TTCGTGTGGTTCTGAAGCTAAACGTCTCTCTCCGCTACATCTCACCCAGGGTAAAGCGATGGACCAATCACAGCCCTCATCAAGAATCTCCGAGGACCAATACCTTTCCGAGATTCCAGTTACGTCATCTCATCTTAACCAATGAGATTAGAGTTTACAAGTCGTATAAGGAAGTGTCCAATGAAATCGCATGTAATATATTTTAGTTGTTGACTGCTTTTCAGACATTTAGCATAATTCTGCATCATTTTTTGGCTTAGAATATGCTGAGCTAGAAATTTGTATTCAGTTTTTCCTGTATTTGGTTATTTGCTTGTGTAATGCTTTTAAGGATGATTGCCATGTATCTGATGACTATATGATGACATTAGTTGACATAATGTTGCTTCGACTATGAAAAATAATTAGAGAGGAATTTGACCGTCTTTGTGGCAAATGTCAAAGTTTATGATAATAATAATCACAGTTCTAATGTTAATATTGGTAGTGATAATAATATTAATAACAAAAACAACAGCAGCAGCAGCAATGATGACAATAATAATAATCATCATCATGATAATAATTATTGTGATGATGATGATAATAATGATGATGCTAATGATGACAGAAATAATGATGATAATGATAAAAAATAATAATAATGATAATGATAATAACAATTATAATGATAATGATAATAACAAACATAATAATAATAATGATAATGATAATTAATAATGATAATAATGATAATAATAATAATAATAATAATAATAATAATAATAATAATAATAATAATAATAGTAATAATAATGATGATAATAATAATAATAACAACAACAATACTAAGGATAATGATAATAATAATGATGATACTACTACTACTAGTACCAAAAACAACAACAATATTAATAATAATAATAATAATAATAATAATAATAATAATAATAATAATAATGATAATAATAATAATAATAATAATAATAATAATAACAATAATAATAATAACAATAATAATAATTAATAGTAGTAATTATAATCATAGCGATAATGATTATTATTATTCTCATTGTTATTGCTATTATAATTATTATCAATATTATAACTATCATTATCGTTATCATTATTGTTATTATCATTACTTTTATCATTAAGAAAGAAAACAAATGATAAAGTAATAAATTATAATTATAGATGCACTCTGAGATCACAACCAATCGCATTGTGATATTGATAATGGGTATTGTGTAATTTGCAAATGCACATCACGGGAAGGTCCAACTTTGAAGTGATATAATTCTGAAACTGTGAAATTAACAAACTCGCATTACTTTCACCGAGGGAACTGTGAGAGTAAAGTATGTCACGGAAAATATCTCCAGGGAATGTATCCAGTAAGATTTAACCGTCTTGGTTTCTTAATAATCTGCAATTAGTATCTTTTAATACAGATCAAAGATATATATATATATATATATATATATATATATATATATATATATATATATATATATACATATATATATATATATATATATATATATATATATATATATATATATATATATATCTATTATATCTATATCTATCTATCTATCTATCTATCTATCTATCTATCTATCTATCTATCTATCTATCTATATATATATATATATATATATATATATATATATATATATATAGAGAGAGAGAGAGAGAGAGAGAGAGAGAGAGAGAGGTGGGGGTGGGGGAGACAGATAGATAGACAGAGACAGACAGACATATAGACTGATTGATAGAGAAAGAAAGACAGATAGACAGATTAGTTAGACAGTTAGACAGACTAATAGACAGTGAGATAAATAAATATCTTGATAGATAGAGATAGATAGACAGACAGTTAGATGGGATGACAGACAGATATACAGTCAGTAAGATAGATAGACATACAGTCAGTTATACAGAAAAAAACGATAAACAGATAGACAGATAGATGGACAGTAAGACATACATAGAGAATACGAAGCATAGAGAGAGACGCGGGCAGGCAAACTGAAGCCACACCACATAACCACTCGATGCCTAGTAACAGCGCCGCCGTGGACGAAAGCCTTTACCTTTGGCATACAAGACACCTTCAGCCTTCAACATTAACTTACTTTCAGCCATACGGACTACCGTTATGCCCACATGGAGGGTTACCTTGGCGTTACCAGTGCTCTGAGCTGTTCGTTAGAAAATACACTGAGATGTAAATATCACTTGCATATCCAAGGTACAGACACACGCTCAGGCTTCATAGGCATACTTACACATACACACAAATAAGAAAATGCATGTACGCACAAATGACTAGAAAAACGAACACAAACAATAACACACACAAATAAGCAATACCTACTCAATCACACATACACAAACACAAACAAACAAACAACCCCCCACACACGCCCACACATACACAAACACAAACAAACAAACAACCCCACACACACGCCTACACATGCAAACACACACATACCCCCCCCCCCACACACAC